CTGGCCCAACCTGGTCGGGCTCATTCCCCCGTTCGCGGCTCAACACCTGCAGGTCATCGCATTCGCAAAGTGCCAGCTTTTACCTCTGCAGCTGCCTGTCCTTTGTTGATTGTTATGCGGCTTTTCTTCGGCTGCCCGCCCCTTGCAGCTTGCCTGCAGCCAGTGTTTCTCAGCTAAGGCCCCTGCTCCTTTGTTGCAGGCCACTGGCAGTTTGTCAACTGGTGTCCCCCCTCACGGCTTGGCTCTTGATGTCCGTCCACGCTGCCAGCACCTTGCTGTTTGCCCAGCGGCTTTCCCTTCAGCTGCATGCTGCGTGCCCCTCGCATGCGGTGTTCCCCGGCACTGACAGCTTGCCGCCCTATGTTCTCCTCAGCTGCCCACCCCTGGCAGCTTGCTGCTTGTGTGTCCTTCCACGGCCACTTTCATCCTTACAGCCAGGGTGCCCGTCCCTTCCACCCTACAGTAATATTCTCTGCTGCCCCGTGTCAAGCACGTCCTTGGCTGGGCCATAGCCTTCATGCAGTGGGTTGTCGCCCGATTTTGAAGCTGCAGCAACACGGCTCCGAGCCATACTCCCTTTTGGCCGGTGGGCGACTGACCCTTGTCGTGGGTGTGTCTCTCCTGGCATCTGCTGCGTTTCTTGCTGCTGACGGGTTTGAGCGGCCTGTCTGGGGTAAAGCTCGCCCACGTTCCCTGGCTCTGGTGTCAACCTGCTGTGGAACCTCTAGCGGCGGGGCCTATAGCTTTCGAAGGCACCCTGATTTTTATCGCGACTTGGACCACTTCTGGCCCAGTTCTACCTTCATTTCTGGCCCAAGTCCACTTTTTGGCCTTATCGTCGACTTGAGCCACTTCTGTCCCAAGTTTAGCCCATTTTCCAGGCTTCATAGTCAATAAACTCTAGTTAGCACCCCCTCTGGAACCTCCAGCGGAGGGGGCCTATGATGCTAGCGGAGGCCCCCAGAGATGCTCGGAGGGGAAGAGTGTGGGAGGCCGTGGCCGTAAGCCACAGGTCGACTCCTACCCTACCCTACCGATTAGGGCTTAGGGTTTAAGTTTTGGGGTGTAGGGTATAGGGTTTAGGATTAGGGTTTAGTGTTTTGGGCCGGTATTAAGGGTTCAGGGTCTGAGATCCATCCCTGAGCCCTCCACCTACCCTCAGGCACTTGGAGGGTTAGGCAAACTTTGTAAGTATACTTATAACACTAACCCATATGAACCATAGTTTAAACTCCTTAAAAAAGGTTATATAGTGGATTTTATAGGGAAGTATTATCGGGTTTTTAAGGGGGATATTAGGAGTTTAAAGCTATAGTTCATATTGTAATAGAGCCCAAGATACGATAATCCTTATTTTGAGGACCCCTAAAACTGGAACCCCCTAATTTTGGGAACCCCGTATATTAGATGTCCTTAAATCCCATATTAGGAGGCTAGAGGCTCATAATTTTTGAATGCCCAACTTCTGAGGACTGGTGGAGGATGGTCTGATCTGGCCCAAGGTTGCTCGCCGTGGACTACAAGGTTTCTGCTTGGCTTAGGATTTCGGGTTTAGGGTTTTGGGGTTTTAGGGTTTTGGGGTTTAGGGTGTAGGGGTTTAAGGTTTCTTTCCCAAAATTAGGGGTAGTTTGTTTTTGAACGGGGCATGTAGGGGTTAGGGTTTAGGGTCTGCGGCTTCTGGGACCAGGGCTGAGACTTGGCGGGGGGGTTGTGTGGGTTTGGGTTTTTTTGGTTTAGGGTTTAGGGTTTAGGGTTTAGGGTTTAGGGACTGTGCTGGCTGTTGAGGTTTTACGGTTTGGCGCTGGCTGGGGCCCTGGGGCTCGCAGCCAAACGGAAATGAACCAACCCGAAACCCCAAAAAGTAGTTTGTATTTTCTTTTCTCTTATCCCTATGTAACCACATTATATATATAGTAGTTTCCGATATCTTTTCCATTATCCCTTGGTATCCCGTGTTGGGCTTCGGATGTAGTAGTTTAGCAGGTCCGGGATGCAAGGATGTGGTAGTTTCCCTAAATAAGGTGACCCCAACATAGGCCCCCCAAAACTATAATCCTTATTCTGGGACCCCGAAGAAGGTACCCTTGATTTTGGGAGAAACCTCAAACCCCTAAAACCTAAACCCTAAACCCGTAAACCCTAAACCCCTAAATTTGGGAAACCACCATGCATAATCCTAAGCGCAAACCCCTATACCCCCTTAAAAGGGACCCTTAATTTTGGGAAACCACCATGTAGCCCAGCAGTGCTAAGAAAGGCAAGGTAAACCTCATGGGTCTGAAGCCTCGTTATGTTTGATTGGCATGCCAGCATAGCCAGAAGTCCACCACCTCCCAACCTAGTTTAGGGTTGAGGGTTTAGGGTTTAGAGTTTAGGTTTAGGGTTTACCTTAAACCCTCAACCCTAGACGCGGGACCCTAAACCCTACGCCCTAAACCCTCAACCCTAAACCCTCAACGAACCCCGAAGCCTTGAACTTCCAATCCTAAAATCCAAACTGTCAACCTTGAGCCCTAAGCTCTGTACTGAACGTAAGTCCTTGATGCCCGAAAGAAACCGATCATGCTTTTTTCTTCCGAGGGGTCTAGGGTTTCGGTTTTAGGGTTTAGGGTTTAGGGGCGGAACTCTTGTATATGGACCTGGTGCTGTGTACTCTTCGTGGTACATATGCCTGCAATTGAGGGTTTTGTGAGATCCAAGTTGGACGGGTGCTAAGATTAGGGAGATGTTAGCAGTATTCTGTCGGCTTAGGGTTTAGGGTTTAGGGTTAGGGTTTAGCGCAAATCCTAGGTAGAATTCAAAACCCAGTTCTGAAATTCTTGTACCGCTGACTTATGTCTTATAACCACATGCGAGAGCCTCAGACCTCTCACAGCTGCCTTCAAACACAAAGTACTTATCATGGGTTCCCCTACTCCCCGCCCCTATACTACCCCCCAGCTTCCCCCGTTAATTAACTAGTTAGGCTTAAATAAGGTGAGGGGGGTAGTAAGGAAACCCATGAATTTAAACCGAAACCAAGGAGACTTTCCAAGATCTCTCCAGGCCATTGAAGGGAACAGTGTAGATCCCTAAGAGCGAACGTAGCAGAGCGTAATCCTAAATGTGATTCCTACATCCGTCTCACAAAACGATCCCCCTAACCCCTAGCCCCCAAACCCTAAGTCCCAAATCTTAAACCTTCAACCCTAGACACTACATGCTTAAGCCCCTAAAGCCTAAACCCTAACCTTAAGCCCCAAACCTGAAGCCCTAGCATTTTCAGCTCTGTCCGCAAGCTGTGTTGCAATTTTCAATTCTCGGACGCCTCTGATTGATCGGTCTTGGCGATTTCCCAAGCAAGTTGGAGGAAACGGGCAACGCCTGGATCATCAAGGAGGGCGACTGCGGTGAATACGAGATGGGTTACCCCATTGACGAAAATACTTTTGATAGGGAGCTCTTCCTGGTGAGCGAAGAGCTCCCAGAAGCCCTAGGCCAGCGGTGCGAAGAGACGGTCCCCGGGCACGCAAGCGAATTCCAGTACGACCATCGCCGCACGTTTTTTCCATGGCAAGTAGTGTTGCCGCGAGAGGGCGACCTCGATGGCACCGGCGCTTACCAGACGCCCTGGGTGGATGGCGACCGGAGGCCTTTTGAAGATCCCTGGCAGCCGATCGATTATCTCCTCTGCAAGGCCCAGGACGACGAATATGTTGTGTCAGCAGCAGAACTCAACGACACGTATCTGCTGCTGGGCGATCGAGCTGCCTGCAAAGCCTACTTGCATCAAAGGCCAGGGGTTGGATATGTACCACTTCACGAAAAA